TAGATAGATAGATAGATAGATAGATAGATAGATAGATAGATAGATAGATTTTACCTGGATGATTGAGTCTTTTAAAGGATGTTTGTTTTCGTTCATTTGTTTAGGGGCGGGGCTTGCAACATATCCGTAGTGTTTGTATATATATATATATTATATATATATTTACAATCTGCTCAAGTTTTGCATTTTTTGTACCTTACTCAAATTTATCTCTGCTGCTATAAAAATAGAAAAACATCTAGTCTCGTCTCTTAATTACTTGTTTAGATTAGGTTAGTTGTGTTTTTGTATTTATTATAGGTTTGTTTGTGTTTATTGTTTTGTTGTGTATTTGCAGTGTGTTGTTGTTTTGCACGTAATGTTCTGAGCTGCACGGTTTCATTTCAGTTTGTACTCTTATTTAGCTGAAATGACAATAAAACCTCTGACTCTGACAAATGGGCGGAGTCGGGGTCGCGTGTGGGCGGGGCTTCGGCAGAGTGAAATCTGAGCCCTTTAAATCCTCAGGAATGACCAACCCAGATTAAACTCAATCTGCCGCCTTTGAAACCACAAACCTGGGGATTTATTCACGCTGTGTAACTGTTCCACAGTTCTGCGAGACTTTGAACACTTTTAATTCTTCTTTTGTTGAAAAAAAACACGGAACAAGAGACTTCCAAGGTAAGACGCGCCTGTCGACTCACCGTCACAGATTAAAGAATTAAAATGTTTGTTGTTTTTATAGTAACGTTGACAAATATATTATAATTTAGTGTAAAGCTAACTGAAAGTTATTTATTACATGTAGCAGAAACATACAATTATGACAGAAATGTCATTTTAAAAATGAAAATGAGTGAAAGTGAAGTTAAATCATATAATAAAATGTTAAAATAAAAACCAAAGAGCAAATAAAACTGAACAAATCATTTATTTTATACAACAAATAATATTTATAGGTGGATTAACAAATAGCATCTACACTTTTCTTTATTAGAAATTGATTATTACTTCTCTTTTTCCTGTTCTATCTAGATAATTTTATTGATACATCTGTGTTTTTGTAGAATTTACAGTAAATTATTAAAAAATGCAACAGTGTTCACAATGGCTGACCAGAACACACCCAGCTGTGTATTCAGTTCAGCAAACCTGCCCTACGTCATCATTATGGGATGGATTTGGAGTCTTGTATTATTAAATAAATGCTTTTATTTGGTTGGTGTATATTAAAGCACAGATGTCTCTGAGTCCCTGAAGTTCCTGATACTTCACACACAGCTGGCTTTATTAATTATTCTGGTTTGGACGACTTCATTAAGCATTTAATTCTCTCACCGCCTCCTTGAGACAATAACTGTCTTATTAGGTCATCAATAACCTTTTTATTGTTTTCTCAAGCAACAAAACAGAAAACTTCATATATATTTGACTTTAAATAAAAAACAGGAATGATGTAAAATTTCTTGGACCCCAAACTTTGCATCTATACGCGTTTTATTATTGTAGTGTATTTACACAATACGTCATAATGTTTGTATTAGTAATCAAAAGTTGTACTTTAAATCGAGTCCTCTGTTGGTTAAAGTGTTAAAACTTTAAATGAACAAGGTAAATGTGAAGAATAGACAAAATAAAATTTTAAGTGTTTTAATAGAGACATTCTACAAATAAACTGCAGATTTCAACCTTTGAATATTAATTTGAGTTCCTTCTGTAAGCAACAATGTGAACTGCTCATTATTCAGTCAGTTTGATGACATTTAGACATGGTGCATGGACAGTACATGGTCTGAGAGCCAACACACGGACTGACGGCTCTGAGAATAATGTTGTCGAGGTCTGACCAGAACGCTTCAACAAAACAAACGTGTCGTGGTTGAACACGTCCTCTGAGGTGTCCTCATCAAGAGACAGTATAATTGTCCCGTACGGTCCACGATGTTCTGATGAGACTGTGGCTCTTTCATAAAACATTTCATCTTTTATCCAAAGGACTTCTTCAGTCTGAGGAGCAGCAACAAACTCAGTCAGAAGCAGCACCCTCTCATTGTGAGGTGTGTGTGTG